TGCAAAACACTAGCGATTAAAGCGCAAACTCAATTAAAGTGCAGTAAATTCGAGTGTAATAAGTGACTAAAATATGCAATTATAGCCTATCATCAGGGTAAATCAAGAGATTGATATTCCCATTAAAGGGTTGAATCTAGATATAGTAAAAGCCGACTTGAGCTTTTTATTAACCGTTTGTTCAATACCCATTTGGACTTGAGAAAGCCAAATTGGGCAAAATCACTCTCTGACCGAGAGGTATTGAGTGGGTACTCAGGTGTTGATAGCTATAATACACCCCGACCAATAAAACAAGCTTTAAAGTTTACAACCCCTTAGGCAAACACCTAGGTGAAGGTCATAGCCCTAGGCCTTTTATATCATTTGAAAAATAACAAAAATAATTTCCTAGTTTCAATTCTTAGTTGGTAATCTTAGCTTAATTTGGACTTAGAAACAACCCAATTTGTGGAAGTGCAATTTGGGATAATTCAAGCTCATTCACTATAATATATACTCCTAAGTCCCATTCATAGCTCCTTGTGGAAAATCGACCCCGACTCCTTATTGGGTATTACTATTGCATCGACCGTTTCATAACCTCAAATAGAGGTGTGACTTGGACGAGATCAGATTTGGTATTGTTTTGATAGTTGTGATATGTGAAGGTCGTGTACGCAAGGTGACGAGTGTGTACACGGGCTAAATGTTGAAATTCCGATTTTAACTACATAGTTTCCTTTTCATGCTTTAATTGAGTTACTTTAGCAAGTTATAGTCACCATGTTTAGTCTAATTTCACATGTCTGCTTGTCTTATCTCTTATTTGCAACTTGTACTACATGCTTAGTCAAATTACCTGCTTTCTTGATTCCGTATTCATTATATAACTGTGGGATTCTTTACTTGAAATTGTTATCCTTGAAATATTATTGTTTTAGTTGTTATGTTTTAATTTTCGTGATTATTGTTAGTACCAAATCCTAATGGGAATTTCCCCCACAAAAGGTTAGACAAATCATGTACCTCAAGCCACGCTCAATCAATAAATTAGAAGGCCCTTTCCTCAATTTTTCAACTCCGAACGGCTCGAATCTAGCAAAGAATATAACTAAGGAAACTAATTTAAATAATGAAATTATGATTTTAGCAATGAAAATCGCCCCCAAAAAGTCAATCCGGGCCCGCATCTCGGAACCCGACCAAAATTACAAAAACCGAACATCCATTCGATATCGAGTCCAACCATACAAGACTTATTCAAATCCGATCCCATTTCGCCTTTTAAAACTCAAGAATTCGGTCTAAGAACTTTTGCACTCCCCCCCCCCACCCCAATTTTAAACTCCAAAACACAAATTATAAGGTGTAATTAATAGTAGATTCATAGGATTTATACAAAAACGAGTCAAGAATCCATACCCTAATGCTTCCTCTGAAAATGTCTCAAAATCTCGCCTCAATCTGAGCTCTCAAAGTCCCAAAATGAGTTATGATATTAAATCCTCGATTTCCTCTTTTCTGCCCAGCGACTTCTGCATCTGCGGCCATTGGGTCGCTACTGCGGCATTGCACATGCGAAAAAACCATCACGGGTGCGGTTTCAACTTGAGTCCAGGGCTTCTGCTTCTGCGGATAAGGGCTCGCATCTGCGAGACCGCTTCTGCGAAGAAAGGGTCGCACCTGCGACCACTGGCGCTTCTGCGCACCTGCCATCGCAGAAACGAAGGCGCTTTTGTGGAGAAATTCTCGCTTCCGCGACCACTATTGGGAAAGGTCAGCTTCATATCTGCAGTTGAAAGCTCGCTTATGCGAGTCCGCACCTGCGGCAATCCCACCGCAGGTGCGATGACACCAGAACTAGGAGCTTCAGCATTTGCACAAGTCCAAAATATGATCTGATCTCGATCCGAATCACACCCGGGGCCCCCGAGACCCAGTCCGAATATACCAACTAGTTCCAAAACACATAACTGATCTACTCGAGGCCAAAAATCATATCAAACAATACTAAAAACACGATTCACACATCGATTCAAGCCTAAGAACTTATAAACTTCCGAATTCCGGAACCGACGCCGATTTATACCAAAACAACTCTGATTGACACTAAATTTTGCACACAAGTCCTAAATGATATTACGGACCTATTCCAATTTCCGGAATTGGAATCCGACCCGATATCAAAAAGTCCACTCCCGGTCAAACTTTCCAAAATCTTCCAACTTTCACCAATTTATGCCGAAATGACCTACGAACCTCCAAATCAACATCCGGATACGCTCCTAAGGCAAAAATCACCGTACGGAGCTATTGGAACTGTCGAAACTCTATTCTGGAGTCGTCTTCACACAAGTCAAACTACGGTCAACTGCTACGACTCAAACTTTCAATTTAACGACTATGTGTCCCATTCCACTCCGAAATTCACCCGAACCCGACATTAAGCATCCCAAACAAGTCACATAACCACAAACTAAAATAGAGGGAGCAATAAATAGGGGATCGGAGCTAATACTCTCAAAACAACTGGCCGGATCGTTACCACGTGTCAGGTTCTAGCACCCTGTGGTGTAAACGACTGTGTTTGTGGTAGCGCATCCCAATGGATCTCTAATGGGAAAGAGCTCTGCCGCGTTGCAGGTTTTACTGTGAAGTCTTTGGATCTCTAATGGGAAAGAGCTCTGCCGCGTTGCAGGTTTTACTGTGAAGTCTTTGTCTGATGATCCAGAAGAAGTTTCTTGCTATGGTGGAAAATCTAGTGTGGATTTTATTGCTGATTCATGGTGGGCTACACAATCAATACTAGAAATCAGGTAAATACCGACCAAAAAAACCGACCAACTTTGGTCGATTATGGCCAATTACCGACCAAAATGCGACCAAATACGCTTGGACGGTATTTTGATAGTCATTTTAATATACTGACCAAAGTTGGTCGGAAATTACCGACCAAAGTTGGTTGGTTTCTTGAAAAATAAATTTCGCGGGACTCAAAAATAATTTCCTGCATTTTTGCGCCAAAGAAAACCGACCAAAGTTGGTCGGTTTCGTAAAAAAAAAAAATTAAAAATTAAAATAATTTGAAAAACCGACCAACTTTGGTCGGTTTTCGGCCGGTTATTTTACCGACCAAAGTTGGCCGTTTTTCTTGGTCTCTTTTTGCCGAATTTCTAGTAGTGAATCCAAGGTGCAAGAAAAGGCGGACAGTCCTGGATTCGTTGAAGATTTCAAACAATGGGTAGAGGGCATGACATTTAAGAGAGAATATCTTGGGCAGTAGGAGGCATGGTTCTTACAGCAGGACTTCTAGTTACCAGGTGAGGCCACTCTTTTTTAGTAATTAGGAGAATCTTATTTGAAGCTTCATGAACTCTCTCTAGTGTGGCATGTAGTCTTAGAATGTTAGTTGTTACTTTCTAAATTCCAGCTGTATAATCATGTGGACTGATTCTTAGTCCATTATAGAGTGATCATCAATGTATTTGGAAGTTTGATAATGCCTGCATGCTTAGTGATATTATACTTCATCACTGTAAACTTACTTTTACTATGCAGTCCAAGGCATCCGGTCTGTGACCGTGAACTTGAGTCTGCCCTTCTACCAAGAGAGGAAGAAAAGGTTTTCGACTAATTTGACTACACTATTATGTAACTATTAGGTTGCAATTCCAATACCTTAAAAAGGACTGTTCAGCGAGTATTAGGAAATATTTGAAGCAAAAGAAGTATATAGAAGCAAGTATGAATTTCACTTGAAAAAAAGTAGAGTCGTGTCCATTGTTCCCTTGAAATGCCTCAAACAAGTGCTACTATATTTTACTAGTATTTCAAATACTGAAGTTCAATATTTGATACTGGTGGCCTAACATGTATTTCCCAATACTATAGTTTATGGACAAACGGAATTCGACTTCCGCAGATGATGGAACGGTAGATCAGGAGTTTGAAAAGAGCTTTACTAGCAACTACTGCTGCTGGGTGGGCAGCGATCGGTTCGATTCGGTTGTGAATATTATCGGCTATTCGTTTATAAATATGCTAAACCAATAATCGAACCGACGAAACATCGGTTATCGGTTAATCGGTTATCGACCGTTATCGGTTCGATTATCAGTTAACCCGATAAGATAATAAGAAACATAGTGTATAATGCACATGGAATGAACTTCAATCACTGAAGTTTGCATAATCAGGTTCCAAGCAGAGCCATTTCGCCATTCCATTTTTCTTGTAAAATACATATTTTTGTTTTACTCATTGCAAGTTGCTTACTTGACCACAGGATACCATTTGCAAGTTCCCTCAATTTTTCATATTACAAACAAAGAAAAGGAAGTAATCAAGTAAGGAATAGTTTTACATAAAGTTGACCTGCAGTTGAGCAAAAAAGAAAAGAACAAATTCACTGGAGTCTGGACGTCACAAAAAGGGTATCCTGTAGCTAATTCGGCCAGTGAGTAAAGGAAGAATAGTAAATGTTAAGGAGGTTATATCCTACCTCAAATCATTCAAGAAGCTCAAATTAAATTTCAAGAGTACATCTCACTGCTACCATTGATGGAATGAGGAGTGAAGACTTGCGGACGAGAAAAGTTCTAAGACAACGAAAATGAACTGAAGGTTGAAGCCCTAGATGTATTTATATAATTAAGGGTAAAATCATAATTTTATTAAATTTTATTGGGTTATCGGTTAACCCGTTAATAAAATTGGACAAACCGAAACCTGAATCGATAATCCAATAGTAAAAACCACTAAACCGTTATCGAACCATTAACCCAATAACCCGATACCGATAACTCAATAAGCTTTTTTCGGTTCGGGCTATCGGTTTTACCCGATATATGCCAGCCCAGCACTGCATCGTTGCAACTACAACATTTAGGACACCATTCAGCTTCTTTACTTATTGCACAAAGAGAGGCATGGACCGGAGAGGGGAATGGGCTTGTGACATTTCCACTGGCTGTTTAGTTTAGATACCATTCTCATCATCAAGTAAGTCATAGTTGCAGTTACAAAATGGTTGCGTTATCATTAAAAGAAAAGATTCATAAACTATAACCTTACAGAACTTTGTAAACTATTTGGATGATAAAGCAACTCATCCTAAATCAAGGATTGTCAAATCTGAGTGCTAGTAAATACAGAAAGGAAACAAAATGTGTCTAAAATAAAAACTGAAACATCTTAGATCTTCTGAATATAAGTTATGTTGCCGATTTACAGAATTCTTTTTTCCTTTAGTAGTAATATACTCATGGCCTATCCACAGTTCCAAAGCCAAACAGGTATTGGAAAAGATGGCTTGTGTCAATAACAAAATATAAAGTGTAGTGCTCGTCATTCTTCGCTATATACTGGATAAATCTCCATGTACACTTTCAACTGTATCACATCCCTCCAACCTTTGGTGGCTGTTCAAATAAAAACACAATTGTTAGATGTCTCGTAGAGTCTTCATTTCAGAAACTTACCGGGATTTGTAAGAACTCTTTCATGTCAAAATCACGATATTAACTTGAGAAAATATAAACAAGAATATCATACCTTCTTTAGGGGCAACTTTGAACCGCTAGATAATATTGGTTTCAATATTTCAAAAGAACATACAAGTTGCTCATCAACGCTTAATAAAGCACCTGCATTATCGAATTCTCCACCATAGTTGGGAGCAGAAAATAGAGTCACAAGTCTTCGCTTAGCAAAGAATTCATATCCATCCTCCACCACCTAAAACAAAACTTTAGGAATCAGAATACATTCAGGACAAATATAAAACTTGAGCAAACTGAAAAACTGATGGCTTAGAAGCAAGCCAACAACTACTGCAAGAGTATCATAATTGAAGTGCTTCGACAACAACTCTGGTTTAAAATTGCCCCAGAATATTTCAAGAGAAAAACAGAACTATACAAGAGCTGTTCATGTCATAATCTCGATAAATACTTTGCTAGACATTTTTGTAAAAAGGGTAGCCCGGTGCACTAAGCTCCCGCTATGTGCGGGGTCCGGGGAATGGCCGGACCACATTTTTGTAGAAAACACATTTTCCATGAGAAAGATATGAAATTTTCTAGCATGGGCAATTTTACGAAGTGAAAACAAGAAATGCCTGGAAAGTAAGTTTTGCTTTAAAGAATACAAGGCTAAAAGTAGGTGTTTGGAGTTTTCAAAGCTTAGCAACGAGATAATATTTTTGACCATCCAGAATATGGTATACCTGATGACCCCGGCAGATGAGGTCTAACTCATTCTTAGCCAAAAACTCTGCAACTACATCAGGTCCAAAAGTACAAGAAACACCTCGATCACTCTCTGACCAACCCTTAATTCTAGGGTCAGGATCAGCCCACAGCAGATCACATAGCAAGCCACCATCAGGAATCTCAGCCGGCCGCTGAATCTCGTTTATTTGGTCTAAACTTTTTAGCTCTGGAGAAATCCCACCATGCATGCAAAGGATCTTTTCATCTATAAGTGCAGCAACAGGTAAACAGTTAAAGCAGTCTGTGAATATCTTCCATAGCCTAACATTGAATCTCCTTTTACATTCATCATAAAATCCATAGACCCTGTTGATTTTTGCATCTTCATGGTTCCCTCTAAGAAGGAAGATCTTGTCAGGGTACCTAATTTTGTAGGCCAGTAGCAAACATATTGTTTCTAAGCTCTTCTTGCCTCGATCAACATAATCCCCGAGAAAAAGATAGTTTGCCGAAGGAGGATAGCCACCATATTCAAAAAGTCTTAATAAGTCTTGGAATTGGCCATGTATGTCACCTGCAAGAAAGGTAAAGGAAATGAGATAAATTTGTGAGAGTATTAAGCAGCACACAAAGAGAGGCATTTATGATATCCCATTAGAAACCAAATGTTCCATGCAAGCAAAAAAAAAATCAAGAATCTGATAATTATAGCATCAAAAAGAGCCTCCAAAATTTACATTTAAGATTATCAAACATATTTCACAGACACCAGAATTTGGCAATGTAAGTCTATTAAGCTAAAAACATATTTACTACATGTAAACCACAATTTATCTATATAATAGGAGCAGTATATAAACATTTTCTAGCATGGCATAACTATCTATGAATACTTATAAACCAAAATGCACCTTCAACCTCCAACATGTTCATTGTACATGTAAATGTTTTAATGTAAACAATATCTTATTTTTATACAAGGACTATATATCAACCTTTGCAATCCAATAACTCATACCAAGCTCAGGTTTTCAGGTCACAAACAGTGAATTGCAGACATCAATTTTTAAGGGGCTATTTGCAACACTCTGAATTCCCATCTAAAGACGAGAGGTGAAGGGAGGAGGGAATATAAAACATATCTTTTCCTTAATTACTATATCAAAGAATAGACATCTCAAATCAGAAAGATCAAATTTTTACCGATCATGTGACAACCAAAGACAGATGCTAAGACACACAATCACATATTAAAAAGACCCTTCATCCTGCATGCTGAAAAATATTCAACATTTCTTGTGGTGGTGGGAGATAATAAGCTGATTCGGAGACTACCATTATAAATAAAAAATAAAAAATGTAAAAAGAAAAAAAGGCAAAGGAAGATACCGCAGATCCTAATGGGGGCACGAAGCTGGAGGAGATTAGGCTGAGAGAGGAAAATCTGACGAGCATTGACACAAAGCTGGCGGATCTCAGCCTCAGATAGCTGAACTTGTTTCCCTCCCTTCTCTTCCAATAATCTCCTTATTATATCATCCAATACTCCCTTTTCCATCGTCCCTTCCATTCTCCTTTCTCTCAAAATTAATTCCCTCTATCTAATTTTCTACCAATAATAACAAAACTCTGACATGAACCTAAACCAATTCCCACAAAAAAGAGCAGAAACATACACTCAACCACCCACTTTCCTCTGACAAACAAGAAAAGGGTATGCGAATAAGTAGGAAAACAAAATGAATATGATTAGGAAAAAGGAGATTGGATTAAGGGAAAGCTTAAGAATGAAGGTAGAAAAATGGATAATTGTGGGGGTAGATTAGGGGTATGTTGTTGTCAATGTATTGTAGGATGCGTGCTATGCTCGTCTCTTCTCCTATTATCTCTCCTCATTTTTCCTCCATTCTTTCTCTTTGTTCTCTCTCTCAAAATAAAAATTAAACTTTTTTTGTATGATCATTATTAAGCAATACTAATGAAAACGTGACAACAGCCAAGAAGACTAAAAACGGTTGAAATCTTCAAATTAAGGAAAATGGGATATGGGACTGTTGTCTTAGAAAGCGCGGCGGGCACGATAATTTTGGCCCAACACAGGGTGATTACAATACTTGTATACACGTGCTGATTTCGTGAAGCTCTGTCTTTTAAGATGTTTTATTCCACTTTACATCTGAACATAAAGTTTTAAAATATTAATTTTGTTATAAAATAATAAAAGAAGAAGAACAATATTGCAGAGAAAGAGAGAGGGGAAATTCTTATTGAATTTTGGGATGAATTACAATGGAATAGAACCCTCTATTTATAGGGAGATGGTGACTTAGCCACCAAGTAATAAACCCTAGAATCTCTCTAAATATGGACATTCACCATAAATAGAATTCTATTTATAGCACTCCCCCTGAATGTCTATTCAATAGATAATGTGCCTCGTTAAAACCTTAATTAAAAGAAAACCCAATGGAAAAAAAAATTCTAGAAAAGGAAAAAGAGTACACATGTTTAGAAATGCGCCTATTGGTTGCCTCGTTAAAAACCTTGCAAGGAAAACCCAGTGGGACAAAACCTTGTAAGGGAAAAAGAGTGCAACGCGCATTGACTTCCCCTGATGAGAGCATCAATTCACATCCTTGAGCCTTCGCATCCCGATCTTGTACACTAGCTTCTTGAAGGTTGACGTTGGTAGAGATTTTGTGAACAAATCAGCCATATTATCACTTGAACGAATCTGTTGCACATTGATATCACCATTCTTTTGAAGATCATGTGTGAAAAATAACTTTGGTGAAATGTGCTTTGTCCTATCTCCTTTTATGAATCCTCCTTTCAATTGAGCTATGCATGCTGCATTATCTTCATACAAAATTGTGGGTAGTTTGTCACATTTCAAACCACATTTGTCTCGAATAAGATGTATTATAGACCTCAACCACACACACTCTCGACTTGCTTCATGAATAGCAATTATCTCAGCATGATTAGATGAAGTAGCCACAATTGATTGCTTAGTCGATCGCCAAGATATGGCAGTGCCTCCACAGGTAAATACATAACCTGTTTGAGACCGAGCCTTGTGTGGGTCAGATAAATACCCAGCATCAGCATAACCAACAAGATCGGGACTGCAATTGTTGCCATAAAATAAGCCCATATCGGTAGTCCCTTTTAGATACCGCAATATGTGTTTGATCCCATTCCAATGTCTCCTTGTGGGAGCAGAGCTATATCTCGCTAAGACATTAACTGAAAAAGTTATGTCAGGCCTTGTAGTATTGGCAAGATACATTAGTGCACCAATTGCACTAAGATATGGTACTTCAGGACCAAGTAGCTCTTCATTCTCTTCTTGAGGTCGGAATGGATCCTTGTTCACATCAAGTGATCGAATAACCATCGGAGTACTTAATGGATGTGCTCCATCCATGTAAAACCGTTTCAATACCTTTTCTATGTAGGCAGATTGATGAACAAAAATTCCGTTTGCCAAATATTCAATTTGCAAACCAAGACATAATTTTGTCTTTTCGAGATCTTTCATCTTGAATTCCTTTTTTAAATAATCAATTGCCTTTTGGAGTTCTATAGGAGTTCCAATAAGGTTTATGTCATCAACATATACGGCAAGTACAACAAATTCCGATGTTGTTTTCTTTATAAAAATGCATGGGCAAATGGCATCATTTATATAGCCTTCCTTTAATAAATACTCACTAAGACGGTTATACCACATTCATCCTGATTGCTTTAGACCATACAAAGATCTTTGCAATTTGATTGAAAATATTTCCCGGGACTTTGAATTATGTGCGTTTGGCATTTTAAATCCCTCGGGAATTTTCATGTATATCTCATTATCAAGTGAGCCATAAAGGTAGGCGGTAACCACATCCATTAAATGCATGTCAAGCTTTTCATGGACAGCAAAATTAATGAGATAACGGAACGTTATAGCATCCATAACGGGTGAATATGTCTCTTCATAATCGACACCAGGCCTTTGTGAAAATCCTTATGCAACAAGGCGTGCCTTATATCTTTGTACCTCGTTTTTCTCATTTCTCTTGCGTACAAAGACCCATTTATAGCCAACAGGCTTAACACCATTAGGTGTTTGGACTATAGGCCCAAAAACTTCACGTTTTGCAAGCGAATTCAACTCTGATTGGATTGCTTCTTGCCATTTTGGCCAATCAAGTCTTTGTCGACATTCTCCAGTAGATTGAGGTTCAAGATCCTCACTTTCTTGCATAATGCTAGATGCAACATTATATGCAAAGACATAATCCACCACTATATCCATTCGATTCAAATTTGTCTCAATATCGATTGGATTTATTGATAGTTCCTTATTTTCTTGAGCCTGGGGCTCAGTGGATTCCTCATGAATCTCAGAATTTATTAAATCGTGGATTTCTTCATGAGATTCTTTCGTAGTGTCATTTTGATCGTTTGTTTTCCTTTTTCTAGGATTTTGATCTTTGGAACCTAATGGTCTGCCACGTTTTAGGCGTGCTTTTGACTCATTAGCTATGACACTAGAAGATTGTCCAATAGGGACATCAATACGGATTGGAACATACTCTGCAGGGATATGTGATTTTGTTATCCTTTTCAAATCCGTAAATGCGTCTGGCATTTGATTTGCTATTCTTTGCAAATGGATAATCTTTTGCACCTCTTTTTCACAAATAGAGGCACGTGGATCAAGATGAGATAATGATGGATTTTTTCACAAAATTTCCCGTTTGGTTTCACCAACTTCTCCCCCTAATTTTGGGAAGAGTGTCTCATCGAATCGACAGTCTGCAAATCGTGCAGTAAACAAATCCCCCGTCAATGTTTTCGAGAGGGTAGCGAATAATGGAGGGCAATTCAAAACCAACATATATTCCTAACCTTCTTTGCGGACCCATTTTGGTGCTATATGGTGGTGCTACAGGCACATATACCGCGCATCCAAAAATTCTTAAATGGGATATATTAGGTTCATGACCCAAAACTAATTGCAACGCGGGAATATTTATGATAATTTGTCGGTCTGAGACGAACTAGCATTGCTGCATGCAAAATGGCGTGACCCCAAACAGAAGTGGGTAACCTTGTTTCATGAGTAACGGTCTCTCTGCTATCAATCAGACGTTTAATTTAAGACTCTGCAAGGCCATTTGAGTGTGAACATGAGCTACAGGATGTTCCACTTTTATCCCAATGGATAAGCAATAATCATTAAATGCTTGGGATGAAAACTCAACAGCATTATCAAGTCTAATAAACTTAATTGGATTATCGGGGAATTGGCGCGCCCGTAATCGAATTATTGTTGCCATTAATTTTGCAAACGCGAGGTTGCGTGATGACAGTAGGCACACATGAGACCATCTAGAAGATGCATCTATTAAGACCATGAAATATCTAAACGACCCACTAGGTGGGTGAATAGGTCCACAAATATCCCCTTGTATACGTTCCAAAAACGCAGGGGACTCAATTCCAACCTTTGTTGGTGATGGTCTAATAATTAACTTGCCTTATAACAAGAAGTGCAAGAAAATTTATTATTTAAAAGAATCTTTAAATTCTTTAATGGATGCCCATTTGAGTTTTCTATAATTCGTCTCATCATAATTGATCCAGGGTGTCCCAATCGATCATGCCAAAGTACAAAAGTATTGGAATCAGTAACCTTTTGGTTTACGGTAGAATGTGCCTTAATTGCACTAATTCTTGTCTAATACAGGCCACAAGATAAAGATGGGAACTTCTCAATAACCCTCTTTTGGCCAGAGACATTCTTGGTAATGATGAGATATTCAGGATTATTCTCATCTATTGTCTCAATATGTTATCCATTTCGACGGATATCTTTAAAACTCAACAAGTTCCTCTTGGACTTGGAGGAGAATATTGCATTCTCTATAATAAGTATTGTTCCCTTAGGCAGAGTTATAGTAGCTCTTCCAGAGCCTTCAATTAAATTACTACTACCAGAAATTGTAGTAACATCTGCCTTACACATACTTAAATGAGAGAAATATTTCTTCTCTTTGAATATTGTATGTGTCGTACATGAATCAACTAAACAAATATTTTTATAATTATACATTGATCCAAATTTGCTTTATGAGATATCCATATTTGCTTCCCATGATTTGACATACAAAAGAAATATGTGAATAAGTATTAGTATTTTCAAAGAAAAAGGAAAAGAAACGAAGAGAAATCAATGATAGAGATCCAACCAAAACGAATTTAGTTTGACATGGGAAACAATTATTGCCACAAAATAATCCCTAAAATCTTTATTTATATTATTGTAACAATTGGTAAATGTCTGTGCATTAATACCAAGGTCTTCGTTAGTTTAATGTTTGTAACCGAACGTATAAATTTAATTTCATTCCATATGCAATATTGTATTATGTCAATATTCAATGCAAACATGAGCAAAGCAAGTAATCTGGCATGTAAGTTCAATAACAACGGACAAATAGCAACCATATATATAATGCCATGCTTATAATTATGTTAGTAAGTATAGTCGTATATTGAACTATGTATGCACATAAGCTATATTAAAATTATCTCAAACAATTGCAGAAATCTAGACTTTAAGTTTAATGCTTATACCTAGTATTAAATGCTTCTACGTTATAATCAGTAATAATGTGTTTTCCCATGTTGGAGCCATAGTATAAAATATCATATATTGCTGAGTTACCATAAACACAAAATGTTCCATAACATCAAAGCTTAAAATTTGTGTAGTTTACTAGTTTTGCATTCTTGGAGAGAGTAATGCATACTCTGATAACGTGTTATTATTAACGTTTAATGAGCATGCGTTGTTTAAAACGAAATCAGAAGACTAAGTAAACTTAAACATTGTTTAAAACGAATATTAGAACTATATTTAATCAAAACGAACTAATACTATTTTATAAAATAAATAATACTAATTGATATTGATGACTAC